AAAAAAAAAAAAAAAAAAAAATGTTTGGACTAAACAAAAGCAAAAGCAAAAGAATATAAAACACAAAACAAATCAAGCTGATACCTGTATAAACTGGTTGAGGTCACTGTGCATAGACCTATATAGACAAAAGAGTTTTGTCAGGACAAGTTTGAGCTAGAAATATACATGATCAGTTCTAGAAAGTACAAAAGGATTCTACATTAAAGTTTCATCTTCAATCAAATCTTAGAAGAGATGTACAACTTACTTGGCTTTCTTGAAGATGTCTTGGCAGCGCTTCTTCCGAATCAGAGATGTTGACTGAAAGAAGAAATCATCTTACCTTTAGTATTGATGAACAATGAAAACTTTGTAAAACAAACAACCTAACTTTGTCTAAGTGGGTTACTACATTACATGTATGTTAGCAAAATGAGATCACAATATATATGCATAGTCTCTAAAGTTAACACATTTGCTTATCAACTACTGCACTGCTCAAATAGTTTCTGTTAACAGTTTAGATGTTTTAAAACACCAACCTTGGACACAGCCATCATCAGCCACATACACTGTTGTGGGAAAGTCACCAGCAGCGTGGCAATGATATCCTGAAGGAAGGAAAAGAGGTAATCATGATTTATCTAATTTTTGGTGAAGAGTGACATATCTGTAATGTTATATATCATTATCAACACTCATTCTGGGTAACATTGTTGTCATCTATCAAACAATATGGATTTAATATTTGTAAGCTGATAAAAATGTTTGATGAAACAGATACATACATGTGTAATGTTTTTGCATGTTATATCTGCATAAAAAGATGGAAAGGTTTGGAAAAGTCAAAGGAGAGGAATTGCCATGTTTTGAACATTGATACATTTGTACTCAAAACCCATTGGATTAACAACCCACTGCCCCTACAACCTAAAAGAGGCCACAGCGACGCATCCAGATTTGCCAGCGTACCTCCAGTCTGTTGAAGACCTCCGGGTGAGAGTGACAGATGCGTGAGATGAGCTGTGAGAAGGATGTCAGGAACTGGTATGGGGCTAACTTCTTGGTGTAATTCCCTATAATCTGTGGACCAGGGGAAAATAAAAAAAGCATTTTCAAATCGTTTCTTCACATGTTACTGACACCTGTTGCACTGTTGCTTGCTTTCAATAGAATATTTGATGGAAACATCTTTTTTCCTTCCATTGCAAAAACTGCGTTAACTGCCAACTCTTGCAAAACCTATAAAACAGCATTTACTATTATAATAGTGACTCTCACTATCAATGATAGTAAACTATCTATTTACTTTGTATCTAATCTATTGACTTATAAGACATACCTCGTTAAGCTTAGGGAGCATAACCCTCATGTTTGTTCTCTCTGCTCTTCCAGCTGTAAAATTCAAATCATACCATTAAAACATTACGTCAAACACATCTACAGAACACAACAGGTAGGGGGAATATGTTAAGATCAATACAGTCTCCCTAGATTTTATCGATTTATATTAACAGTTCAAAATGGCCCCCTCCATGGACAGTGGGTATCAGACATTTTCATGCAGGATGTTTCCTTTCAAGATGTCAAGGATATTTTTGTAACTAATTGATGTAGTCCAAGAACCTAGTCATGTGCCCCATGTTGAATTAGTTTGTACTGCATCATCATGACATTGGAATAATCAATATGAATAAGTCATCCATGTTACCTTTCTCGTAATCTGACACTTTAGCTCCGTAGTCGAGCCACAGTGCCAGGAGCCTGGGCATGGCCTGGTAGATGTGCTGGTTACCGTACTGCAGGGAACGTCCGAAGTACGTCACCACGTACAGGATAATGTCTCTGGAAAAAAAGTTCAGAGCTTGTTGAAAAGTGCTCAGTGTAGGATTTTGGCAGCAAATCTCAATAAAATAATCTTCATGTTACTGATATTTACAAAATTTTGCATCATTATTCATACTTCCTGCCATTACAAACAAGGCATAAACAACCCACACCATGTTCACCTCATTTTTTTGTATACCAATGCCTACCAGCATAAACTTACTTTGTTCCAAACTGTATGAAATAAAACAAGAAGCCATAGGCGACAATTCTCCGTGAAGTTTTATATATTTCAACAAAATCCCAAGCGTCAACGCCAGACCTACTGCATGTGCAGACATTATAATTAGGCAACGGTTAATACCACGCTCGTCCCCAGCGCCCGTGGAGAAGCCATAGGTTATAGATCGTGGCTAGCCCAGGCTATGGAAAATAAACTTTCTTTAATGCAAATCTGTCGTTTTTGTTTTCTTTGCGCTATCTAAAGGGTTAGGATAACCTACTCTACTCTGGCGGTATTGTCGTGCGCGCTCGCTAGTACGTAACGTTACACGGCGGCCATCTGAATACATGTACACTGCATTCTTTCTACTATCGGGACCTAAAACAAGACGCAAGATTCCTATTTTGGGGTATAAAATGCTGTCACAATGGTAATATATACCAAATGAAACGGACCTTTA